GAGATGGGGTCTTACTCTGTTGCCCAGGCTAGAGTACAGTGGCACAATCATAATTCCCTGCAGCCTAGGACTCCAGGGCTCAATCAATTCTTCCACCTCAGCCTCCCAAATAGCTGGGACTATAGGCACACACCACTATGCCCAGCTTAGCAATTTATCTGAAAAAAAATCAAAGAAATAACAAAGATAGATAGTATCGTTTATAATGGAAAAGAAAATGGAAAGTAACATAAATGGCCAACATTAGATTTGTAGTGCATCCACATTGTGGAACGCTGTATGGTTAAGAATACATGTGGATGTGTGTAATGAATAAAGATGTAGGAAAATACTTATTATGCAGTCAAATTTCTAAAAAGAGGTTTGGTTAAAAAAAGTGTGGGCAAAGAAGAAAATAGTATGTGCAGAGAAGCAGGTCAAAGGGTACAAAGTTGCAGTTATGTAAGAAGCATGTCTACAGATCTAATGTACAGCATGACGACTATAGTTAACAATATTGTATTCTATACTGAACATTTGCTTAGATTTCATGGATTCTTACTTCAAAAAAACCAAAACTGTGACTATGGAAGGTGATGAATAGGATAATTTGCTTGACTGTAGTAATCATTTCGCTATGCATATGTATATCACAAAATCATGTACACCTTAAATATACACAATGAAAAATAGTATTCCCAGGATGGGGTTCAGGATATGCTAGGCCCAAACATGGCACCTTGACATTTCAGAAAACAGCAGAAATAGGAAGGTTACTCTCTGACCTGCTCCCACTCTTCTTCCCAGAAGCAGCCCTACCTATACCTGGTGGAAAGGAACATCCTTATCTCTGAAGACACAGAGTCACAGAGAAGAATCTGAACAAACAGGCCTTGCTAATTTCCCCCCAGTTCTTTTTTTTTTTTTTTTTGAGACGGAGTCTCACTGTGTTGCCCAGGCTAGAGTGCCGTGGTGTCATCCTAGCTCACAGCAACCTCAAACTCCTGGACTCAAGCGATCCTCCTGCCTCAGCCTCCCGAGTAGCTGGGACTACAGGCATGTGCCACCATGCCTGGCTAATTTTTTCTATATATTTTTAGTTGTCTGATTAATTTCTTTCTATTTTTAGTAGAGACGGGATCTCACTCTTGCTCAGGCTGGTTTCGAACACCTGAGCTCAAACAATCCGCCCACCTCGGCCTCCCAGGGAGCTAGGATTACAGGCGTGAGCCACCGCGCCCGGCCTCCCCCCAGTTCTTGCTGTTAGATTATACTCCTAAACTGTCCACTCATCACACCTAACCATAAAAATGCACAAATTTATCTGTTTCTCTTGGTCTTCATTTCCAGAGGCTCCCAGGGCATGTTAAACTTATATTAAATGAATTTATATGCTTTTCTCTTGCTAGTCTGTTTTTTATTATAAGGCCCTCAGCCATGAACCTAAGGTGGGAAGAAAAGATATTTCTTTTCCCCTACATGCATGCAGTATAAGTCCATTTTTATTTTTATTAAAATAAGGAGAAAAATACTTCCCCTCTGTACATCCTTCCCAAAGTACCACCCTTGCAGGTAAGACCAAACTTTGGTTTATGTGGGACTAATAGCTGCAGTCAGCAACAGGAAAGCAGCCAGGATGAGTTCCTGCAGATGTGGTAGGGTTGCTAGAACCCCATTCTCAGCAGCTTGGTAATTAAGATATTAGAATGGAGAGTCAGGGGAACAATGAAGAACTCGTCATGGAAATTATCCACACCCGGTCATTTTCAGGGAATTCATCTAATCCTCATCTAATTGACAATGAAACTTTTTGAGATGACTCTAAATTTCAGTGTAGTTTAGAAGTCCTTCAAGAAGTGCAGGACGCATATTTTTTTCTGGGGTTAGCAAACTTTTTGTCAAGCATCTCGGTGTGCAGGCCCTAAAGTCTCTCCCACAACTACTCCCCCTTGCGGTTGTAGGGTCAAAGTAGCCAGAGATCATTTGTACATGAACAAGTGTGGCTGTTCTAATAAAATACATGAAAAAATTTTCATATATTTTAATGTGTTATGAAATAGTATTATTTTGATTTTTTTCAACCATTTATAACTTTAAAAATTATCCTTGATCTCGCAGGACATATAAAAATGGTCACAGTTAGCTGACCTCTGGACTAGCTTCGTGAGGAAGGCACAGCTAGCACCTAGCACAAGGACCTAACAAAACAGAAGATGCTCCATAAATGTACATTGAACGAATTTAAGGAGAGGAGATTACCAAGAAAACTCTACGATGCCTCAGATGTAAAAAAACACCCCTACAGGAACATTTACAATGTGGTTTTCACATTATGTCTTTCATGTATATACTTAATGTTTTATAACATTTATATTTGTTTTCATTATTTTTTGATCAGCTTTGGCATTTTTATGGAATAAAATGGATTTCCCCAAATGGAGCCCTACTTTGTTTTCTTTTTCTTTTTTTTTTTTTTTTTTTGAGACAGAGTCTCACTCTGTTGCCCAGGCTAGAGTGCTGTGGCGTCAGCCTAGCTCACAGCAACCTCAAACTCCTGGGCTCAAGCGATCCTCCTGCCTCAGCCTCCTGAGTAGTTGGGACTATAGGCGTGTGCCACGATGCCTGGCTAATTTTTTCTATATATTTTTAGTTGTCCAGCTAGTTTCTTTCTGTTTTTTGAGTAGAGACAGGATCTTGCTCTTGCTCAGGCTGGTATCAAACTTCTGAGCTCAAACGATCCTCCCACCTCGGCCTCCCAGAGTGCTAGGATTACCGGTGTGAGCCACCGCGCCCAGCCAAGAGGCCTACTTTTTAAGAGTGCATTTATGAGGTTTTGGCTTACAATGGTTTAATTTATAATTATTCCCTGGGAAGCCATCAGGTCCAAGGTCCGGGGAGACCTTGCACATGGAGATGAGCCGGGAGAGTGTACAACAAAACACTAAGCTCAACAATGTGAAATTTTATCTACACATGTAGGATTTCAGGTGATTTCAACTTTCTTTTTTGCTTAGTTTCCAAATTGCTCACATGAACATACATACCCATCAATGGCTCTCCATGCACGTAGGATAAAAGGTAAGACTTTTCAGCATAGCACTGAGGGTATACCAGGACCTAGCCCCTGCCTCTCTCTCTGTCTTCTTTTACCACTTCTTGCCTGAAGTTGTATATATCATCAATGCTGAATTAACTTACAACCTGCCTATGCTTATTTCCTCATTTAAGAAATTGGGATGATAGATATTTGTCTAAATTAGAGGATTGTCACAGTATCAAATGTGGTAATATGTGCAAACACTCTGCAGACAAAAAAGTGATACCAGAACACAGTGTTAGTAACCACACCACTGTGTGATGCTTAGCTATTTTCTTGTTTTTAATTTTTACCTGCCTTACCTCTCCTTCTGAACTAGAAGGTCCTTAAAGTCAGACACTGTGCTTTATTCATTCGTCATCAACCCCACAGCACGGTCTCCTGTCCATGGTGGGGGCAGGGGCTACTTATTTACTGTATTGAAACAACTAAACAAAATGCTTAAAAATAGCAAGTGAGCGACGGCATTAGCGATCCTTGATAAGGAGGAAAGGAATGTAACTTGTAATCACTACTCACTTTTCTGTATTTGTAATGTTAGTTTTTTCTTTATTCCTGAATCTCCACAAATTCCAGTAAGAAACTGAATGTAGTAAAAAGTTTTATAAAAAGTGACAGACACAGATAAAGTTCACTATAAATTTTAATCTATGATATAAAATGTTACCCAAAGACACAATTGAACATCTTGTATCAGAAAATAAAATATAACAATCAAATTAAATTTTGTACATATTTCTATGGCACAAGGAGATTTTCCTCAGATATAACCTTGTAATTATGTTTTGTTTGCTTTCTGTAAACCAAACTATAATAGCAAACTGTATAAAGGACATAAGTAAAGTTTATTAAAATGATTGTCACAGATATACTGTTCATTAATTCAAAGAACACTAAATTCATTCATGTGATCCATTTTATTCATTAATAAATTCCTTTATGTAGAAGGAAATATAACACTTTATGCTTCTCATGAAATAGTGGTTTCTTCTTCCAGTATAACCAGGGAACTAATAAACACTTAGTGCATGAGAAAACTTCCATTTCATTCACATCAACATAATTACTTCTTAGGTTCTCGCATCATCAATGTACAATAAGCACCTTTTCTTGAGGCAACGTCAAATTAACAGCACTGATATGAAATATGGCAAATTCAGTGGTTGTCAGCATCTATCGCTTTAGGAATTTTGAAATATTTAGGTGAATCAAGCTATAACCATAAATATTAATCAAAGGAAAAGGCTTATTAATGTCTTCTTTTCAAGAGAGTAACACATTCTTAAGGTTTCTTGTTATTTGATAGAATAGCAAGGATTTCTAAACTTTCTTCAAATGTCTTAAGACTGAAAATCAGTTATATTCTTCAGATTTTAGCCTTATTAATGAAATTCCAAAGGTATTATAAAAGACTGTAAAATTCAATATGTCTGGGAATTATACATTTTTAATATATATTTCAAAATACATGCATTCAGACAACTTAAATGTAAAATTCATTTTTATTTATCTTTCTTGATAATAACTGGCAGTTCATGCCTTCCTTCCCAAAAGTACTCATACAAATAAGTGAATAAAGAAAAGAGAAGTTCTTCTATTCAAAGTCTGGGGCTTCTTCCCTTTTTAAAACTCACCAGGCTTTTGTGCCAAAATATTGAAATCTGCACACATTTAAACACAGTCACATTCCACAGGAACACATATTCCTAAACTCACACCTTTGAAGACACAGGAGACAAGCAAGAAATAATGTTCCCTTCTCTCCGTGTGACATTAACTGCTTCTGTTTATTAGTCAGAGTCACTTCATGAGATTATTGGGATAAAACAAAGGGCTAGATTTTCAATTTCTATTACTCTACCTAGTAAAATTAGACTCAAACTAGGTGGAATTAAAGAATTACACAGTGATTGGTAAACCGGCCTAAAATAATTAGGCCTTTTATTTATAATTCCCTTTTAAAAGTTGTCATTTGACAATAGCTTCAATCTTTAACAGCAGGCAAAAGAAAATGAAGTGCCATGCTATATTAATTAAAATATTCCAAGATAAAAGTATAAAACCTGAAAATAACTTCAGTGCTATAGACATTTAGAAAGTTACAATTATTAAAACTCTGAATAAAAAGTTCTTGTGAACAGGTACATTTCAAAACAATATTTTACACACTTTGGAAAAATAGGCATATTTCAAATAACTTGATATATGATTTATAGATTTCGTACAGTCTCTTTTTCCTTCCGCAAAAGCACTGTTTTGCTTTAAAGTCTCTCATATTCAATTTACCAGTAATTGCTTCTTTATGCTGAAATAAAACTTTGTTTGTTCATTAGTTTTCTGTACATCCCATCTGGTTTTGACAGCAGTTCTTCGTGTTTCCCATACTCGGTAATTTTTCCTTGGTCAAGAACAGCAACCATATTAGCATTCTTAATGGTGGACAGCCGATGGGCGATAACTAACACTGTTCTTCCTTCCATCAGTCGATCCAGAGCTTCCTGTACAAGGTACTCGTTTTCGGCATCCAGCGCACTAACACAGGAACACACACGCAAGAAAGCAAAAGATGTCAGTGCCACGTATATCATATACTCACGTGCTTCCTGATACGTGCACAGTGGCCCCTCACAAGCAGTGAATTTTTACTATGATCAAAATTTTGACTGCTTGGGCTAAAGATACTATAAGAAAGAAGCTTGGGATTCCTTGATCTTCATAAAACTACACTGTGATACATAAGTAGAAAAGCATTCTGCACAGTAGCTGGTTACAGAGTGATTAGGGCTTCATCACAAGCATGTCTGACTTGGAACTAGAACCCTCGACTCCTGACTCAGTCTGCCCACTGCCTCTCACCTGCCATTTTTAATCCAGACTCCATTACTTTAAAATAAAGGGGGAAAAAGTGTTTTCAGTTGTATCACTTTGAAGTACAGAACCGAAAGTTTTTGGTGAAAGAAGAATTTGGTTTAATACAATTACATATTTTATTAAGATATCCTCACCTGGTTGCTTCGTCTAGGAGAAGAATTTTGGGATTCTAAAGAAGGACAAAAATTAAAAGAAAAGAAAAAACAATTTTATTAGAAAAACACAAACTCTCAGCAATAAAAAGGAAAGAAACTCTGACACATGCCATAATGTGGATGGACTTTGGAAACATTATGCTAAGTAAAGGAAGCCAGACACAAAGGACTGTATATTGTATGATTTAATTTATGTGAAATGTCCAGAGCAGGCACATCTATGGAGACAGAAAGCAGATTAGTGGTTACCTGGGGCTGGGGCCAATGGGGGAAGTAAGGGAGGTGTGGGGAGGGCTGCTAATGGGTAGAGGGTCTCCAGTTTAGGGTGATGAAAATGTTCTAAAATTGATTGTGACGATGGATGCACAACTCTGAGTACACTAAGAATCATTGAATTGTATTCTTTAAATGGTTAAATTATGTAGTATGTGAATTATATCTCAATAAAGCTGTTACAAAAAAAGAAAAACACAAACGCGTAAGTGTCTTGGTTAAGTACATAAATGGAAGAGTTATAGCCGATTTTAAACTATTATCACAGTAATCATCTGACCAGATATTGTTTACAGCATAGTTTTATCCTTCTGGTCAATCAACTAATAGTGTGAGATAGGAATATACAATGAGTGAGATATGGTCTATAACTCTCAGGTCTTGCTTATGGTTTATTTAGAACTATCAAACTAACACATAAAACAGAAAAAAAATAAGAGTAAGCTGATATAGATAACACATTAAATTCTAGCTTTGCCTAGGTTTTTGCTCTACCCACAAGAAATTAAAACATACACCCCCCCAAAAAGGTGGATACCATTCACTCACACATTATTCACAATACCCCCAAACTAGAAATGACCCAAATGCTCATCAACCATTGAATGGATCCACGAATAGGGGTGCACCCTTAGTACTCAGCAGCAGAAAGGAAGGAAAGACTGATACAAGGTACGAAATGGAGAAGCCTCAGAACCATTATGCCTCTACTAAGTAAAAGAAGCTAGAGCCAAAGACCATACATCATCCGGTTCCATTTATTTGAAATGTCCAGAAAAGCACATCTAGACAGACATAAAGATTTGTGGCATCCTAGGGCTGGGAAGGGGGAAAGATCGCAAATGGGCATGAAGGATCTTGTTGGGGGTGATTTCTAGAAGTGCTCTGAAATTGGATTGTGGGTATAACCAACTCTATAAATTTACTAAAAATCACTGAAAAGTACATTTAAAATGGGTGAATTTTATGCTATGTAAATTATGCTTCAATAAAGCTGCTTTAAAAAAAATCACCTATAAACCTGAGGAGAATAGTTAGATAACAAAGAGGAAGGCTATCATTCCCTTAAAAATAGAACATCAGACTTCCAGCTAAAATGGCTCTTTCCTCTCCTCCAAGGAGCCTTGTCTGAGTCCTTCGGTTCTGCACTATTCAATTTAGCAGTTGATTATAGATGATGCAGATGTGGATACTTGCGCTGTTGGGTATTTTGAGTTAATAACCACTGTTCCACTATTAGATGATATGCTTCTTGACGGAGGGTCCATGTGTTAGAAGTTTTCTCCCTCTGACAACCTTAGCACGGCAGATACTTGTTAAATTTAGACAACATGCACTCGACGGAAACCCCAATTTATCTTTCCCCGTAACTGTCATCCATATACCTACCCTCCCCCTCCAAAATAAAAAAAAAGAAGACAAACAGTAAATACAAATTACAAAGTCCCTAATAAAAACAGTACAAAAAACCAGCCAAGTGGCTCCAGGCTTACCTTAAGCAGAGCACGGGCAATTGCAATCCGCTGTTTCTGCCCACCTGACAAAGACATTATTTCTTTAAAAAGCCTTAACAAAAATTCTTGATAATAGGCTTTTTTGATAAGCCATATGGCAATCTGATGGTAATTTCTTTCAGTTAGCCATAGCTGAGACCAATAGAATAGAAACCCATTTTTTAAATATATTGTCTCCCCATTGATCTCAAAATTAATAAGTTATCATAACTAACATTAATTGAGGATTTCCCACATACCAGGCATTTTCTCAATGTAGTACATGTATTATCTCACTTAATCTTTTTAAAAAATCCTATGAGGTAGACCTCATAATTATTCCCACCTTACAGATGATAAACTGAGGCACAAAGTAACATGTCCAGTGTCTCATAGTTGATAAGCAGTGGAGCCACAATCTGAACCTACACAGTGTAAAGGGCTATGGTTTTTTTAAAATGTGAAGGGCTATACTTTTTTTTTTTGGAGTCTTTCTCTGTTGCCTGGGCTAGAGTACAGTAGTATCAACATAGTTCGCTGCAACCTCAACTCCTGGACTCAAGTGATCCTCTTGCCTCAGCCTCCTGAGTAGCTGGAACTACTGGCGTGTACCATCACACCCAGCCAATTTTTTCTATTTTTAGCAGAGATGGGGTCTTGCTCTTTTTCAGGCTGGTCTCGAAATCCTGACCTCAAGCAATCCTCCTGCTTTTGCCAACCAGACTGCTAGGATTCCAGGTGTGAGCCACCACGCCCGGCCAGGGCTATGCTTTTAATCACTACACATACCTCCTCCCTAACAGAGTATTCAATGTAGTAAGGAAACTAGAAACTCAAGATTTTCGGAGGATTCCAAAGGGTGTTTGAAACGTCTGGAGCAAAGGGCATCAGTGATGCTGGGATGGGTAACTCATTTTACTGTCCCGCTCCGCAGCCCCTATTCTTCATACGTGCCATTCTCACCATGTTCTCTTCTTTTCCCTGCTTAAAGGCACATATGGCGGTGTTTATGTATGTATGAAACTGGTGATTGCAAACAGAGTAAGCTATTCTTTTCTTAAACTCAAATTCTACCAAAAGCAAGCAAGCAAACTGAGGGTGGGTTTGGGGGGAGGTGGGCAGGACGGAGGAAAGCAGAAGTCTGTGGTGATTCTCTCCCCACCTCTGTCTCATCCTGTCCTCCCTCCCTCCCTCCCTCCAGGGACGCTATTCCCAACACACTCTGAAAGTGTCAGAGGGCTCACTCCTCCCAGTTTATGTTGTTTTATAAAACCAAATTCCATTTTTGGTGATAACAACATCCCTTTTAAACTGCCTCCACTTTAGAAAAATCATACACAACAGGCTTAAAACCTTTTTGTTTAAAATTTTCTGTGACCCAGGCGTGGTAGCGCACGCCTGCAGTGCAGCTCAGGAGGCTGAGGCAGGAGGATTGCTTGCACCCAGGACATTGAGGTTGCAGTGAGCTATGATGACACTACTGCACTCCAGCCCAGGTGACAGAGCAATACCCTGTCTCTGGGAAAAAAAAAAAAAAAGATAAAAAGAAAAAAGAAGGAAAACAATATTGCAATATGGAAATGTTTGGAGTGCACGGTTTTTGCTATTAAAACAAAGCAGTGATAAAAACACACCTGAGAGCAGAACGCCCTTTTCTCCGACCACAGTGCTGAACCCCTGAGGGAAGTTCCTAATGAAAGCGTCCGCGTTGGCCACCTCAGCCACTCTCCCCACCTGCTCAGCGGTCACCGAGGAAGGGTCGTCAGCACCATAAGCGATGTTCTCAGCAATAGAGCAAGAAAATAAAATGGGCTCCTGACAAGTGGAAATAAAACTTATTTGTCACAAATTTCAAAACAAACTTCCACCATGTCTACTAAATAGAGCAGAGCTTTAGTATGGTACTTAAATCCAAGAAACTATCAAAGTGTTATTTTTTTGGTTCTCCATAAATTTGCCCAGCAGACTTTTTAAAAACTCATGTTTTATCATAAACAGGACTGATTTTCTCATCTGTAGTTCTCCCCGCCCTGCAGGCCATGAGAACCTGTGACAGGTGCCAGAAAAGTGCCTGGCACACGGTAGGAACTTCATAAATGTGGCTCCTCTCACTTAGGAATCGTAAGGCACTGGACGACCCCAAGTCCATCTACACTGTCCAGCTGCCTGCCTTCCACTGGGGACAAAGGGAGAAGCCATCTCTATCTGTTACTTTCTGAAGTGCGTACAAACCAGACGGGAACATAACCTGTGAACACGAACCCTGTGAAGTAGTTCTAAAAAGCAAGCAAACTTCTAGCCTCTTTTCTCCATCCTTAGTAATGCACACTGTTAATATCCCCACACTACTGAGCACCCCATCACTGCCCACCTGCCCTCCCCTAGTTAAGTGGGGTGAAGGTGAGCTCACTACAGAGAGGCTCAGAAACACAAGGAGCTCAGTTTGTCTGCCATGGGCACAGGCTGGCAATAAAAATAAAAACAGCTGTGGCAACACTTCCCTGCCCCAAATGGTCTTGTGAAATCAGCCTCATCAAAGAGACCACATGACATTAACATTCTGCTGTGAAGTCTGCAACTTCTTTGCAAGAGGACTCTGGCTCTTGCCGTGGTCTTTGGTTGCTTCTCCCTGAAACTCATTATGCAGAACAGTAGACTGTGGCTGGGGATGAAAATGGAATTGGGGAAGAGTCAGAGTCAGTAAAAGCCTTTATCATTTTCTCCTCGTCCTCTATCAGCATGACCAAATGACATCAGTCTGCAGCTTTTGGTTAACAAGTTAATACTTTGACTGGTTCAAGTGTTCAGGGTTTTCCAGGGAAGAGCGCTATTTGCAAACCTAAACAACCTGCCATGTGAGATGAGTTTAATACATCTGGAAAACTTCCATTCCTTCTCTCTTGAGAAGCTTGAGACCAGGAAAAAAAGTGAATGACAAAAGCAATTTCAAAAGAAAGTGAAACAGAAACGGAAGCCTCTCTTTTTACCTGACTCACTGTCCCAATCTTGGATCTCAGCCAGACTGGATTTAGCTGACGGATGTCATGGCCATCAAGACTGATTGTTCCTTGTAGAGAGGAAAGAAAGGAATCACTAAGCATCATGGGGATGACGCTAACACAGAAAGGATCCAGTGGAAAAATTTCAGACTCAATTTTTTAAAGATTAAAAATATACTCAAAATCTCCAAATGGAATCTAAAACCATCATGTTTCATGGAATTTCAGAGCTAAAAGGGACTTTCTGGATTGTGCAAGTCTATTGTCTACCTACACCGGTTAGATGACTATCTCATCTAGTTCATCCATCCAGCTCGTCTTCCTGTACCCCAGAGCCCCTCAAGTGACTTAGCAGTCCACCGATGAGATGCACTTGTGCAAAGCCTTGATTCAGAAGAGAATTACATGGGAGAGGAGCAAGCTAGGAGGTGTCCGCTTGCTGGCACAAATGACTGGCAGAGGTGGCACAGTTCTAAAACTGGCACCCACGACAGTGGCTGTCTAACACTACAGCTTCCTGACCATGCCAGTGTTAGCAGCTACCTTGAAGGCCTGGTTCTCGGATGAAGTTCTGGGAAGTTTCCTGGAAGTTCAGCCTAGAATTTATTTTGTCAACTCTGCCAGTGGTTCTTGAGCACTTTTATTACTCTTTAAAATAAACCTTTCTGCATAAACTTAGTCAAACGGGGAATGTGTTATCTGCAACTAAGAATCTGATCAGTACTGTGGCAAAGCTTTTAAATAATCAGATGCTAACTCTGTGACCTTCACCAACAGGATTAATTCTATACGTTGAGAGTACCCGACAATACTTGGAGATGCTGATGACAGTGACAGCGTAAGAAATGCCATTCCTCCTCAGTGTTGTGGAATTATAGAAGCCAGCTGGAAACTTTCATAAACTGGCAAAAACTTGAGGTCTTTGACTAAAAAGTACAGAGTACTCTATCCATCGGTCCCCAGCCTTTTTGGCACCAGGGACCGGTTTCATGGAAGACAAGTTTTCCACAGACCAGGGTGGTGGAGAGGTAGGATGGTTTTGGGATGATTCAAGTGCATTACGTTTATTGTGCAAACCTCTCTGCTAATGATAATCTGTATTTGCAATCGCTCCCCAGCACGAGCAACACCGCCTCAGCTCCACCTCAGATCATCAGGCATTAGATTCTCATAAGGAGTGCTACCTAGATCCCTCGCATGTGCAGGGCTCACGCTCCTATGAGAATCTAATGCCACAGCTGATCTGACAGGAGGGGGAGCTTATGCAGCGATGCAAGCAATGAGGAGGCCGTACATACAGATGAAGCTTCATTTGCTCTCCTGTTGCTCACCGCCCTGCTGTACGGCCCAGTTCCTAACAGGCCATGGACTGGTACCAGTCTGCGGCTCAGGGTGGGGCAGCTATAGACCACACAGCAGAAATTTAAGTGCAATTTCCTTTCTCCCTGATTTATTCACCACGATGAAACTAGAGACTCAATATTTTTACTTAATTTGTATCCACCTAACTAGGATTTTTTTTTCTTTTTTTTTTTTGAGACAGGGTCTTGCTCTGTTGCCTAGGCTGGAGTACAATGGTGCAATCATAGCTCACTGCAACCTCGAACTCCTGGGCTCAAGCGATCCTGCCACTTCAGTGTCCTGAGTAGCTAGGCCTATAGGCTTATGACATCACATCCGGCTAATTTTCTTATTTTTTGTAGAGACAGGATCTCACTATGTTGCCCAGGCTGGTCTCAAACTCCTGGCCTCAAGCGATCCTCCCACCTTGGCCTCCCAAAGTGCTGGGATTATAGATGTGAGCCACCGTGTCTGGCTTTCAGATTTTTTTAAACTGAGAATTTTATGTAGCAAGTCAATAGCGAATCAAGACAGTGATTCTAGAGGCAAACAGTGTAGTAAAACCCATTTTAACCCAGGTGGTGATTCTGAGGGTCAGGATTTATAAGCCAAATAATTATCTGACACATAACTGGTTCTCATATTATGTTTTAACCAAAAGGCACAAAGAGCACAAACACAAAGACATAAAGCATTCTTTTTTAATTCCTGATCTAGGCCAGGCATGGTGGCTCATGCCTGTAATCCCAGAGGATCACTGAGGCTGAGGCAGGAGCATCATCACCTGAGCCCAGGAGTTTGAGGTTACAGTGAGCTATGATTGGGGCCACTGCACTTCAGCCTGGGTGACAGAGTGAAACCCTGTCTCTGAAAATAAATTAATTAATCAAATTAAATTAATTCATGATTTGATTTTTAGTAAAACACCTCTTGTTTTCTCAATCCAAAATCAAATCAGTACATATAAGAATATCTACTCCAGGAAGGATATAAAGAAGTAAAATAATGTGTTCTCTGTTCTTAAAGATGCTATAATCTGGTTAAAAATAAAATAAAAACCAGAATGAGAAAAATCTATTAAGAAAATCCCTACTAGTTCAAAATACTTTCAATGGAGCAGCCATACAGAAGTGGATCCCAAATTGCACATTAACGATGGAGTGAGCCTCGGGCAGAGGCTTCCCGGAGCTCCCCGGGGCTCCTGCACCCAGCAAGCACAGGGTGGTGTTCCAGAGTGCTGCTGACGGGCGGGGTGTCCAGCAGCACAGGGGCACCTTTTCCGAGCTGCCGAGCATGGCCTCACCCGCCCCACTCCCAGGAGAGTGCATGTCAGAAGGAGACACCAGCATGGGAGGTGGCGAGGTGGAATTCAGGGAGTCACTCTGGACTTGAAGAGGTAGGACACGAAATAATACAAAATGCCTGGCAGGCCTCTGCAGCAGCTGTCATACCCCTGCAAGTGACACCTTCTGTTTTAGGTATTTCTGTCCCAGGAAGAAACCCCCTACTAGCACTTAAAACTCTCACAACGGAAGGTCTCTGCATAGCTGGACCCTTTCCCCAGGCACAGGAGTAGGAGAAAGGCTCGGGAGTGTCCCCCTGAGCCACAGCATGGTGAACCACTTACCAGAAACGGGGTCATACAGCCGCAGAAGGAGAGAAACCACTGTTGATTTGCCAGAACCACTGGAGCCAACCAGCGCTGTGACAGATCCTGATGGGATAGAAAGGCTGAAATCCTGAAATATGGGTGCCCCTGGGCGAGCTGGGTAGGCAAAATGCACATTCTTAAACTCCAAAGCTCCCTGGAAGCTCTTCTCATTTAAGATGACCCCCTCTGAAACATAAGGTGAAATATTAATTACTTAAAGCAAAAATCAAATTCACGGCTGAACTCAGTTCTCCTACTTCTCTGCCTATGGAAGGATGCCCCCTCCCCATGGCTAGTCCTAGAACATGAACGCTCTGTGGGCAAGTCAGAAAGCAGGCCTCCGTCTAAATGCTTACCATGTGCTGACCCTGCACCTACTATGGGCAACGTACTACACATATATAGTCTTTGATCCTTACAATCCTGAGAGGTAGAAATTCCAATTCCAATTTAATGAGGACCACAACAGACAACAGCTTGCCCAAGCTGACAAGCAGTAGAGTTAAGATCCACCTTTGGAGCAGTCTGGTTTCAAATCCAGTGGCCTTCCCCCTATGCCACTGTCTGTGTGTAGCTCCCCTGGTCCAGAGTTTATTTTATCTACCCCGCAGAAACGTTCTGAAACAATGATAATGAATAGGGAAGTGTTGCACAAGAGCCACACAACTAGAGGGGGATCAGAGGTCTGTTCTGCCCTGGTATTAACTTGCTGCTGACTTGGGAGACACTGTTCAACCTCTCTCAGTTGGGCTTCTTCTTATGGGCTATCACACTGAAGAATATTGGGGTCTTACTGACCTGGGGCTACCTAACAATGTCCTAGGAATCAGTAAGTTTTGGGGAATGTTTACTACTCATAGCCACTTCCCCTGGGTCTTAGCTGGTTGGTCCAGGCACCACTACCCTAGGGAAGTCACTGATAAAGATGGCTCTTTGTACTAGCATCGCCCAGCCTACCCTAAAATGCCAAGAAATTTAGAGGCTTTTATCTATATGATCCCTCCTGCTTCTTCCCACCCAAACTCTCCACACAGATGTCAGAATCACTGAGGAATTTCAATCTGGTGGACTGGCTGGGGTCCTTCCTATTCATGCCCCCGGACTGCACTGGCTTCTATCCTGCCACTGATGGGAACGATCAACTGCAGAGAGGTGAACAGAGGGCACCACACTATGTGGTCAGGCCCCCGTCTCCAGGAACATCTCAGGCCCACAACAGTGCCCCTGTAGCCGTCCTTCCTCACCCCCCTCTCATAGGAAATCTCACCCCTTTCCTGCCATGTGGCAAGGACCACGCCCCTGTTGTGGCTCGTACTTCTCAGGCAGGGCAGGGAGCTGGTCTAATTGTCCAAAGTCACATTTGTTTAATCCCGGCAAAGAAGAACAATCCCATTTCAGACCCACCATTAAAAGGCATCTTGGGCTCTCTCTCCAGGAGCTCCCAAAGGCGCCCCCCTGCGCCCAGTCCTTTCATCAGCTCCGAGTAGAAAGAGCTCAGACCTGAGGACAAAAAACAGAACCACAACATGTCCATCACCAGCACCAGGGAATGGCCATGGCTCCTCCCGTCCCTCTGGAAGCAGTGACAGTAACTTGCTTTTAATGTAAAATCTGTTACGTTCAAGAAATGATTTGAGGTAGCTGACGAGGAATCAATATTCAGAATTCCCTCTGTCTCATACCCTGGTTTTCCTTTGGCTTCTCCTCTCCAATTTCATGAATTTCTAATAAGGATTTAATGTTTGATCAGGGGACTGAAAAATACATATAGCCATACTAATCAACCACTGAATTAAAATCATAATGCCACAGAGGAAGTCTACCTAGTCAAATCATAGCAAGAGAAATGAAATAG